ACAACGGGCAAAAAAAGAAAAAAAAAAAAAAAAAAGGGAAAAGAAATGGAAAGAAAAGAAAAGGAAGGAAAAGCTAAACATACCCATACCAGGGATTGCTTACAATATGAACTCCCCAGTTGCCACCCCAAAATGAGAAGGAAAAAAATGGGTGGACAGAAAAGCTGCCTTTCATGACAGCTGCGCATAGGTAATATACTCGTCCAGGCGTTGGAAAGAAAAGGGTGATATAAAGGGGGGAAAATAATTCATACATTTTATTAACATAAAAGGCAACATACGTCGGGAGAAAGAAGCAGAGGGGCGCTGGAAGATGTACCCCTCCCCGACCTGGACACTGGGGCAACATATTCCGGGGGGGTGAGTGTGTGAAACGAGGAGTGGTTGCTCGCTTCAGGTATTATATCTCCCTCGTCTCTAATTATTCCTGTACGTCCTGCTCTGTGAGTATAAGCTCTTTTTGTTGTATAGCTCTCCCGAGTTGTAATTCAATCCGTTGGATCCGTTTCTACTACGGTGGGAAGGAGTGGGACATGGAAATGAGAAGTGCACATGTAGACGTGAGATATGAGCACGTCCATACGCAACTGTCGAGGCGAACGTTCTGAGTCTTTCCATTACTTTTGAGAGTCCTCCGCGTGGTAATAATTCGTCTGGATAGGAAAAAAAAAAAAAAAAAAAAAAAAAGCTCAAATGTGAGTGCAGAAAAAGGGGGGTGAAGCTTATCATGCAATGAAGCAGTGACAACTCTGCGGACACTTCTTCACGCTCGGTTTACCATTTTCTGGTGGGCCTGCCCATTGTGCGCGGGCAGCACACCTGGGGGCGGGGGCGGCATCGTCCACGCATTCTTGTCGGAGTTATTCATGGAGTAGTTACTTCCGCCGTAGTACTTGTTGGTGGATTCCTTCGTGGACGCGTAGGGATCCTGCATCTCTGCATTCATTTTGGACCCACGCTGGTAGTTGTCGCTCCTTCGCTCATCCATATGGTTCTTCACCTCGTAGTCGCCGTTCCTTCCTCCTTTCTCGTAGCGCTTATGGGGGTAGCTGTCCGCTGTGGGTCCTCTTCGCGTCTCATACGACTCGTCTCTCCTTCGCTTGCCGCTTCTGTCGTTTGGTAGATCATTTCGTAGGTCGTTTCGCTGGTCGTTTCGCATGTCACTTCGCGGGTCACTTCTTAACTCCTCGCGCACGTCGCCCCGCTCATTTGATTTGTGCATTATGTTCCTGGCCGACCGGTTGTATCCATAGTTGCTGTGCTGCACCGAGCTACCGTACGCCCCGTTTGGCTTGTGAAAGCTCGACACGCTGCCACCACCATCTCCACTGCCCCGACCACCATCTCCGCCGCCACCACTGCCGTAGGGACCACTGTGGTAGGTGGCAGTGGAGTTTCGATCCGATCGCTGGTTGTCATTCTTGTTATACTTCAGACCCTTGTCGTCCCTCCTGTTATCATAGTTGTTCGTTATGCTACCCCTCCCCATTTTGTCGTTCCTATTAAACTTGTTCTGGGATCCGTAGTTTTGTGCGTTGTAATTGCCTCCTCCCCCGTAGCTGCCCCCTCCTCCTTTGTAGCTTCCTCCGGCCCCGTAGTTGCTTCCGCTTCCGTAATTGCCTCCTCCGTAATTGCTTCCTCCGTAATTGCCTCCTCCGTGACTGCCTCCTCCGTAACTACCTCCTCCGTAACTGCCTCCTCCGTAACTGCCTCCCCCGCCGTACTTGTTGCTGCCATAGTTTTGACCTCCATACGATGTCTGGTGATTATAACCATAGTTGGAGCTATACACGCCCGATTTATATACCCCGTTTGGAGACCCCTTGTTTAGCATGTGGCCTCCTTTACTTATGCCTCCTGTTCCCTTGCCGGCATTTGTTCCCCCTCCGCCTTTCGGGCCATATACACTGGCGCCTTTAACAGAATGCCCACTGGACGTTTCATTTGGAGGGTTCGGGAGAAGGGGCGTCCTCTTCTTCATGTCATACATGGAGGGGTAGTAGTAACTGTTCCGGTAAGTCCCTCCCATGGTCCGCTTGGTGTACTTCTTATTATGGTAGTCGTTGTTGTAGCTTTTTCTACCGCTGGCAAACTTTATGGACAAATGACAGATGCGTCGACGGCTCCCTTTTTTCTTCCTCATCACATTTATGTAATACTCGAAGTAGGTGCTCATGTTGTCACTCGCGTGGAAGAAATCCAGTGGACTGAAGATGCATTTCCACAGTTTCTCCTCCGAGAGTTGATCACCGGTCAATACGTCAGCCGTGGGGGAAGCAACGGTTGACGAATCAGCGTGGGGAGCATCGTCAGCAGGGGGGGGTTCTTCCCCCGTTGGAGCTTCCTCCCCTGTGACAGCTTCCTCCCCTGTGGCAGCTTCCTCCCCTGTGGCAGCTTCTTCCCCCGTGGGAGCTTCCTCCCCAGTGGCCCCCTTACCGTCGGAAGGATTCTCCCCGCCTGAAGCCTTCTCTCCACACGGAGTCGCTCTCCTCATTTGGCTATTCAATTCGGCCTGAAACAGATAATAGGACAGATGGGACCTCCTCCCTCCCCCAGAGACGCTACTCCTCACGTGGTGTACATACAGCTTGTATCGCATGTGGCTGATGTGACTCAGCTGATCCTTTATCGTAGTGTAAGACTTAACCTTCTCATGAAACTGCTGAAAGAATCTTTTCCTCAAAAAGGAGTAACTCTTCACAGGGAACTCACGAGTGAAGTTGGGTTCCAATATCAGTGCCATATCTTCAGGGATGAGGACTTTTTTTTTCTTCAAAATGAAGGAGTAGAATGTACAGTTATTCAAAAATGTATTGTGCGAAAAGTGACTTCCATAAACGAGTGGAACGTATTTATCGGAAATGATGTTTATGTCCACCTTGGGTTTCTTTCCCTTTTCCTCCTCTGGCTGCCCCTCCTGCTGCTGCTCATGCTCGTCTTCTTCTCCCCCGTTCAGCTGATCGAAAGAAAATAATCTCATGACTTTTTCAATGTCTATGTGGTAGAGGAGTGGGAACCTTGCAATGTTCATCTGGTTTCTTTTTTTCTCCTTCGCGTGTTCTCCGTATGGGGAGTCAACCACGTAGGTGACTATTTGGGACGTTTCGAGTGCTTGCCTCTCTGCTGTAGCGGGACTTTCTTTTTTATTCTTCGCCTCTCCGTCGAAGAGGTGGGAGAACCGAGTCACATCGTCATCATCGTCGTCATCATCATCGTCATCGCCATCTTCGTCGTTCTCCTCATCATCGTTGTCCGCCTCGGCGTTATCCGCGCTGTCCTCGTCCTCCCCGCCGGCGCTGCCCTTCCCTGGCTCCTCCTCTCCGCACATGTTGGCGTAGCTGGACAATTTGATGCTCACGTCTCCCCCTCCCTCGGCGGGCTGCTCAGCGGCCTCCTCCGCGGGCTCTTCAGCCTCTTCCTCTGCGGCCTCCTGGGTGGGGTCTTCTGTGGATTTCTCTTTGTTTTGAGTACTGCCGCTGTCCCCCTCGTTTTCCTTCTCTTCCTCTGGATCCGGCTGTTGCTCAACTGCTTCTTCGGCAGTGTCTCCATTCGGTTCCGCGGCGGGATCACCATTCGCCTCTTCCACATCCTCTATGTTTTCTTCCTCCTTAGGGTCCTCTCCCTGCTGCGTTTCTGCTTCCTCCCCTTTTCCACTGCACATCAGATTCTTCAAATTGTTTAATGTTTCGTGAATGGTCTCGCGCTTCGTCTCCCCTCCGTCATCGATCTTCTCTTCCCCTTCTTCCTTCTCTTCCTCTTCTTCCTTCTCCGCCAGGTCAGTGGGCTCCTCATCTTCAATGAGCTTCTTTAACTTCTCCGTCGTCCAGAACAAGTGGATCTCGGCATTCTGTTGGCACACTTGTACAATCTCGATCAGCACACAAATGAGAAAATAGTAGATCCGAAGTGCCGTCACCTTGTCGTTGTATTTGAGTCCGGTCTCTCGGATGCTGTAGCAGAGGCCTGCAAGGAGTGGGTAGAATGGGGGGGGAGGGAGAAATCAACCCGTGCGTCTCTCCACAGCGATGCGGGGATGCACATAGGTGGAGGCGTCCAGAAGGATCGACATGTCGACATGACGACGCCGCGAAAGAGAAGCGCCACACAGCATCGCAACAGAGTAGCCGACACAACACCACTACACAGCGCTACAGAACGCCGCTACCCAGCAGCGCCCCTCACCTGGGAGAACCAAAAACACCGTGTCGAAGAAGCCGTTCGGGAAGTGGCTGCCCAAATAAAACAAATTGGCGGTGAAAATAACGTAGACCTTCTTGTCCGCGTGCTGCTTCAACAACTTCCTGGTGTAGTAAAAGGGGGTCTTCTCAATTGGGACATCTTCTTCCTGTTGCATGGCTTCCTCACGTTGCATGGCTTCTTCCTGGAGCTTGCTCCTCTTGCGCTTCTCCAGGTCACGCAGCAGGCGATCCATTTCTAACTCGGTGGAGGTGCCTTGGGAGGGGGGAAGCGCATGAAGTGGCACCGTGTAGGAGTGGCACCGTGTAGGAGTGGCACCGTGCAGCAGCGGCATGGCGTAGAGGCGGAACCGCGTAGGAGTATCACTGCACAGACGATACACCACACAGCCGCTAGACCGCACAGACATGGCGAAGGCGAGCACTTACTCGCTATGTAAATAGGGGCGGACGGATAGGCTTCAATTACTAACTCGGAGAAGGTCAGATTCTCATCCCCTATGATGAGAATGTTTCTGTGTGTTTGCTGATCATTTTCACCTTGCTGGTCAGGCAATTCCTCCTCCACAGGAATGACCTCTGCTGTTTTCTTCCTTCTACCTCTTGATGGGCCACTCCGTGAACGGGCTCGCGAGCCCTTCTTGCCGACCTCCTCATCGTCTGCTTTGGCCATCCTACCACTTGCCAGAGAAACGTACGATGAATTATGTCACGGAGGGGGTGGAGAAAACCCGAACGCCTCCAAAAAGTGTTCTGACCAAAGTACCTCTTAGGTAAATTTTTCAACAAGTTACCTGCACAAGTCAGGTAAATTCACGCGATGTGATCTTCCGTTCGCTTGGCACAGCTCTGTAACAGTGAAATGCTTCGTTCGTTTGCGCGAGCAGGGTACCCGTGTGATGCTTTGTTCGCTAGGACCTTTTCGCTATGCACCTTCGTTGCGCAGTTTTCATGTTCCGCTCTGTTGAGTTGCTTTCATGTTCCTTTTGCTGCTCCTTTTTGCTGCTAGTTTTTTGCTGCTCCTTTATGCTGCTAGTTTTTTGCTGCTCCTTTATGCTGCTAGTTTTTTGCTGCTCCTTTATGCTGCTACTTTTTTGCTGCTCCTTTATGCTGCTACTTTTTTGCTTCCTCGCTGCTATGCTCTCCTTGTTTTTGCCTCTCGGCCTGCACCGTTCAAATTTGATTCTAATATGTAATCACAAGGAAAAAAAAAAAAAAACAAAAAAAAGTGGTCACCTCCGCGGCGGGGTATATATTATGTCACCACAGGCCATCACAACGCGCCGCCGAGGAGAGCGCCTGGCAATTCCTCCTGAGGGGTATACCCATCTTGCGTTTCCCCACAGCGTGCATAAGGGAAAAAAAGAAAAAAAAAGAGGATACTCAGAAGGGGCACATGAACATGTGGCTATGCCATCGTGTAACCAATGTCAGTGGATGAACTCACGAAAGGACGCACTTCCGCAGCAGGGGAGGCAGAAAGGGATATATTGCGACACGAAGGCCAGGGGCGCGCTGTGGAAAAGGGGCATAACAGAGTAGAGTATGCTGCTCCCGCATGTGTCGCGTGGCTAGGGTGTGCCCCCAACGAAGGGGCTTCTGACTCCGAGCTATAGGTGATTCGCCGCGGTGAGGAAATGTATGGACATAAAGTTACGTCTCCCCCCATTTGGCGCTACAAACATTGTGCAAACGCAGCAACTGCCTTATGACACCCACCTGTTTAGTACCCCCGCGTGAACAAGAACAGAAATGTCATCACACCTCAGCAAAGGGAAAAAGAGCCTTACGGTAGACTCTCTAAATCGTTAGGGTGCCCCACTTTCTTCACGGTCAAGAAGCTATCGTTTTTTTTCCACCCGTGAGAGGGGGGTCCATAAAATTGCTGGCCCGTCTCCACACCTTGTGCTGTAACCTTATACAGGATGTTGCCCATGTATAGGCAAGCTGTTATGTACATGTGGGAAAAAACGGATTGAGGAACCGTCGCCCCCCCCTGGTATCCTCCTCTTCTCCTCACCTAATCAGCGTACAAGTAGCGCTCACGAGTGATACCATAGATGCGCTTAATTTCGGCGGCCTCCCGTTGGACCTCGGAGCGGAGTAAAACAAGTGGCACCTGTTGGCCATCCGAAGTGAGAAGGAGAAAGTGGAGAAGGTTATCCTTTTCCTCCGCGTGGAAAAAAGGATCATTCTCTAAGGTGAACTTGAGATACGGATTCAGGTTCTCCGAGGTGGAGGGCGCCTCTTTCTTCATCATCATGTCGGTCCTCATCTCGGCTGTCATCTCGGCTGTCATCTCGGCTGTCTTCTCCGTCGTCTCCATCGTTTTCTCCGCCCCCCCTTTATCAATTACATCAACAAGGTGCTGTAAGTTCCGCACGGGCATGCCATTCACTGTAAGAACGATGCAATCTCTATAGTTAAATCCGATGGTTAGCTTAGACGGGAGGATCCGTTTCACGATGACGATTTCGTCTTTTCTGTTTTTCCTGAACAAATTAAACTGAAGTAGCCGTAGCAATTCGACGTTGTCTGTCTCCTCATCGGGGTAGAGACTCCTAGTCAGGGTGGTAAAGACGACCCCCCCATAAATTAGAAACTTGTTTCGGACGTCCCAGTTATGTTGCCTAACTAAGTAGTTAACCGTACTCACTCTCACCACCACCGATTTGATACGTCCCTCTCTTACAATTCGACAGGTGCATAGATCGCGGACATATTTTCCATTGAGGAGAAACTGGAAATCGACGGATTCGTCTCCTCGTAAGGTCGCCGTTCCGTCGCTTTTTATTTGTGTTCCCTCTATGGATATAATCACGTCGTTTTTTTTCAGTCCGTAGCAGTGTGCATCTGTGCGGGTGGCGACGGGTCTTCTCCGAGAGGGGCCCACCCGTGTTGAAGGTGCCCCTGCTGCGAGCTCCCCTGCTACGAGTTCCCCTGCTGCGAGTTCCCCTTCTGCAAAAACCCCTGTTAAAGGAGCCTGCCTTGGGGTCGCCCCTTTCCCGAGTGTCCCCTCCGCGTGCGCACAGTAGTTCACGTCGCCTGGCTCGTACCGCATCTGCTCCTCGTCCACCTCGGTCACGAGAATGCCACTGTTCTCCTCCACCGCTTGCCTCTTCTCCAAATCGGTCAACCCTACCAGTCGTCGTAAGTTAGCATTATCCAGAGGAAGGTACTTAACCCCCAACGACGGGTACCCATTGTACTTTCCCGTTCTGTGCAGGTCCATGAGGAAATGTTTTATCACTGGGGTGGGAATGATATACGAGGTGTTGTTTGCCATCCTCAGTAACTGGGAGCAGATGCCTGCCACTTTTCCTTTTACCAGGGCTGGCCCGCCGCTGTTCCCTGGGTTCATCGGTGCGTCTATCTGTGTCAGGAGGAGTCTGCGAAGGGGAGAGAAGCAGTACGGGGTAACACCGGTACGGGGTAGCAACGGCAAGGGTGCCACCCCATACGTAGGGATGCCTACTACGCACCACGCTCGAACCGAGGCTGCGTTCACTCCTTTCCAGGGACCCACCTTGTGTTGGAGTGCCTATAGTACTGGACCTCTATCCGGCTTACTATCCCCTTGGTGACGCTGAGCTTGTCCCCCCCCGAGGGGTAGCCAACCGTTATGACGTCGTCCCGCAGGGAAGGCAGCTGGCCCAGTTCCAGGGCGCTCACGTCCTGATAGAAACTCCTGTCTGCGACGGTCAGGATGGCTATGTCGGCTTCATGCGTGACGTGCAAAACGGTGGCCTCGTACTTTTTGGAGCTCCTGCGAAGGGAGAAGCGCAGAATGGTGAAGCGAGTCAGCGGTGAAGCGGGTCAGCGGTGAAGCGGGTCAGCGATGAAGAAGCATCCGCACGAGTGACTCTTCCCTTTGACCATCGCCGCCTGAGCAGAGTTACCCCTAGTGGGAAAACCCCCGTCTGACGGGGCGCACATCCTCTCACCCGTGCTTCCTCACTAAGATTCTGGTGCTGTACGACACGTTGTGCGCGTTCGTCAAGATGAGATCCCCCTCGATGACAAACCCGGAGCTGCAGAGTGGGGTGTACGAAAGGAGTTAAGAGTTGTCCCTGTAGAGTAAATCTGCATTGTAAAGGGGCGATGAATGGGCTTCGCCTCTCCATTAACCCCCCGCCATCCCTGCGGAGGGTATTAATCCTACCCGGTGACGCGTTTGGGGGGTCTGTTGTTCCAGATCATTTCAAGGCTCGGCTCAGTGATGTCCACATACAGCTTGACGACCCCTCGATATATGTTGTGTAGCGCACCTGCCTCGGCATCCTCCTGGGAACGTTCCTCATCTGTGCCTCCGCTGCCAGATGCGCTCAGCGTTATTTGGTCTAAATTTCGGAGCAGCTTCTCATTTATGATGGACCTCTTGGCTGCTCCCCGTTTGCCGTCGCCGGAGTGGGGCGCGAAGTCCGCTGCGGGGGAGGGGGAGTCCATGAGGTAGGCGTGGTATCGGTACCAGTGGCAGTTTTATCAGTGGCAGCGTTATCCGTTGCAGCGTTATCCGTTGCAGCGTTATCCGTGGTAGCGTTAGGGGGTGCTCCAATTGGGGGCGATTCCCCTTGAAGACGTGGGCTCGATTCAAAGTGGCAAACTCCCGCACAGATCCGCCACAATGCGGCAACGGCTCGTTGTGAACCCCCCGGGAATGGTCCTACCTGGAAAGAATCTCAAGGGGCGATTGACTTTGCTGCTCCCCCACTTGGCACTATCTCCCCTGTGCAGCTGGTCTGAGGATAACCCTCCCAAAGGCTCCATTTGGCCATTCCTATATTTCTTCCTCCCCTTCAGTAGGTACTCCTTAACAACCTTAACCACCTGTGGGGTCATAATATCCTTTATCATTTTCTTATCGTCCCTTATCGTCCTCAGTTTGAGCTTCCCTACTCGATGTTGTCCTTCCTTGTCGGAGTTACGATGAGCGAAGTTACTTCCATATGAATTGAGCGTCTCTCTGTGCGTCTGCTTCTCCTTCATTGGTGAATCGTCCATCAGACCGTGTTCTGTTGGGTTCATTCTGTGGCGTAAGTCTGTCTTCTTTTTACGCCTCCATGTGTTAGTGGCACCGGAGGTAGCTTCCTTCCTACCATGGTAGTTCCCTTCACTGGGTTGTCCCTTCCTACCTTGGTCGTTCCTTTCATTGGCATGCTTACCCACTTCGACATCCTCCCTACATGACGCTTCATACTGTTGCTTAGAAGGATCGAATCGTCCATCCCTTGTGCACTCGTTTGGGTGGTGATCACCCCCCTTGTGCAGATCACTAAGGGGGAGCCTCTTTTCTCCAATTGGTGCATTCATTTTATCCACTGGTTTGTCATTCAGGAGGGGGTTAACATACGAGGGTAGGTATTTAACCAAGGGTAGGTCTACCTTGACGTTTTTACTCCCATCTGTTGGTGTGCTTTTATTGAATAAAGAATCGGAGTCATCTCCGTGCGCTTCTGTATCGACGTGATCATCCTGTTCTGTATCGACGTCATCGTGCTGCTCCCCCTTCTGTCCAATTTCAGCTCCTAACTTGTCTGCGTCCTCCTGTCCGTAGTCCCTATCGTGCGTCGGGGGTGGCCGATCACCCATCGGCCGAGCAACGCACAAAGCAAAGGAGCTGCCCCGGGGGTCACCACCCCCGCGAATGATGACCAGCGCTGCGACAACCGAACAGGACGAGTAACTCAGCAGAGACAGTTTCATTTTGTCGTAAATGTCGAGAGGGAGGGAACCCGGCGGGTGATACACTCATGGGTGCCTACTTATTTTATTTTTTTTTTTCTTTCTTTTTGGAGTGAAAACATTGGTGCGACCTCCGCATGGACAGGGCGATACACATGAAGACAACGTCCAAGTGGAAAGGTGTGCTTGGGGTTATTATCCTCTGTGTACACATACGCACACGTCAGTGTGCTTTTTCCTTTTTCTTCCCGCGAATACAGCAGGAACAGCCTCTCATTCCACTGCACCCAGTTGCATTTTGGAGGAAAAAAAGAAAAAAAAAAAGGCCGCAAGAACAGGTGCAACTCGATCTGCATGGCCGTTCGCATTAACCTCTGCTCTCGTTGGTTGAGTTGGTTTGGAACAGGGTTGTCACAAGAGGGAAAGAAAAAAAAAAAAAAAAAAAGAAGGGGGTAACCGGGGGATAGCAGTACAGATTAGCTGCGAGCGGTATGGCATGTTCCCAGCGCCGTCGCTTCGCCAGCACGTAACTTCCAACTGTCAAGTGTCAACTACTAACCGCTTCGCCGCGCTACTGAGCCGCCCCCGGGGCGTCGTCCGGCTCGTCCCCCGACTGTTTCTCCTTCTCCTCGCCCTTCTTCCCGTCGGATCCGTCCCCGCCGAACACGTTCAGATTAGCGTTAATCCTTCCTAGGATGCTGGAGATGTAACTGGTGTCCTGAATGTGAGCAGCCGAAGGAGCATCATCACCATCGTCCGGATGCTCACTTGGCAGAGCCACCCCATCATTCTCCTTGGAAACGATTTTCTCCGAATTGTACAGGTTCTCATTTATTCCACCTCCTTGAGTAGTATCATCCTGCAGGTTAGTATCATCTTTATCCATTTTGAATACCTTTTCGTAGCTCTCGTTTTCTTTTTTCTCCTTTGAATCTTCGATCGGTGTCTGATGCTCTCCACTGTCAAAGTTGTTTTTGTAGCTTTCATTTACGAGTGTCAGATTGTCTTCATCTTTTCCATCGAAGGGGGTGTCATCACTGGGTTGGTTTGCTCTTGACGGGTTGCTCTGATCTACTGAAAGAGCAGGTGAGCTATTCGATTCGACCTTCGCATCGACTTCCGCTTCCGCCTTCCCTTCCACCTTCGCTTCTCCACCCTGCTGCTTCCCATCTGTGAGACTCCCCCCCCCCTCGGTATTATCACCCTCCGGCTTGTTCTTCTCAGTGTATTCCTTGAGGGATAAAATCAAAGCCTCTTTCAGCTCATTATCTATATCCTTCATATTTTCAATTTCTTCAATTGTGGGTAAGTCGTTATTATTAGCAGAGTGCACAACACCACTGGAGGTGGCAATATTTTTCTGTTCCGTCCCCTGCTGACCTTCCTGCAATGACATCTGCATTGCATTCATTAGTTGTTCGTCTTCCTGAATGTTTTCAATGCTATAATCGTTATTCTTCAGGATGGAGTTTAGAACAAATCTGCTGAGATTGTTCTCCGTCTCTGGACACTCAATGAACTTGCAGTTGTCATTGCTATTAACACTGTCGTATAGCGTCATGAGGATGTCTCTATTTCTATTTATGTCTCCATAACTGATTATGTCGAGAGATATATTATTCTTCTTCAATTGTTTCCCTGTGCTGATTAGCTGCTTCTCGTTCACTTTGAAAGGACTCCCGACGAAAAGCATGATTTTTTGACTCAGGTTTTTGTCTACGCGGTGCTTCAGAGCCAGCTGAGCGATTAGGAGACTTCTCACGATGTCACATGTGCCATCCAACTTAATGTCGTGAATGCAGGATAGAAGCTGCCCTATGTCGTTCGTTAGGGACACCTTCACTTTCGTTTTGTCTCCCGCCATCATCACGATTCCGATGTTGTTCTTGTAATGCATGCTCGTCTTGTTGCAGCAAAGCACGTTCACGCAGTCGATCTGGGGAGAGGGGAGCGGTGTGGAGCAAAGCGGCGTGAAGTCGGATGAAGCGACATGTAGTGACACTGGTGTGCAAGGCATCGTGAAGTGGCGCGGTGTGAAGCGGTGTGTTGTGTAAAAGACCGTGACGTGCCGCATCACAAAGTGGCCGTCGTGGCATGGACTGAATGACTCGTTCGGCCTCCTCTTAACTGCTTCTCACTCACCTGCGAGAGAAACCTGTTCGGCACGATGTCCTCATTCCTGTTGTAGTCACTGTTGTCGATGCAGATGATGGTCGCCTCGATGGAGCTCATTTTCGGGTCGGGTCGGCTGGCGGCAGACAGGCGTGCGCGCAGAAGGGTTCGCACTTCCGCCTCTGGGGGAGTAGCTCGCAAGCAGCGTCGATGATGTGTGTGCTCCTTTCAGGTAGGGGCTTCTCCTTGGAGAACAACAGGATTGGACCGGGTAACCGTACTTCCAGGGTGCCGGAAATGCGCCTCAAGGGAAGAGGTGTGCCCAAACAGGGGGTGCTCAGACGGATTCTCTCCAAACGGAGTGTCCCCAAAAGCAGGTGTTCGCCAGGGTGGAGGATTCGTACACTCCGCGCAGCTCTCACGCGCGAGTTAAACACCCGCGTAGGATGCGTTTATTCGATTGATGTAATGATGATGGCATACCTCAGCGCGTTCATTTTTTTTTATTTTTTTTTTTTACTCTTGCGTGGTTAGCACGGGGGGAATTCTTTTTCGTTCATCTGAAGTTAACCAAGGTGATCTTTTATTTTTTTATTTTATTTTTTTTTTTTTCCTTCCTGCGCACAGGGCGAGTATATATTTCCTGGGGGTGGTGAGCGTACAGTATAATTGTGTTCGCCTTATTGGTCCGTGTTGTTTTATTACCCATTTGGCGCGCCACTCGGTGCGTGCTGCTGATTCTTCCGCCATGTGGGAAGGCGAGAACATTGCTCTAGTTATTCTTTTCCCCGATCAGTTGCAGTCTTCTGTGCCTAGCGATCACTCTCAGGAGAGCCGGGGATGAGGGAGCGTGCAAAACGGATCATGGCGTCCGCTTCTTCTCCTGTATGTATAGGATTTGCTTATGTAGAAGTGGAGGAGAGGATCGCACAAAACGGACCCCCGCGGGAAACAAGGGAGGCTTGCCGGCCAGTCGGCTTCCATTCAGCTGCAGTGCTCTTCCAATCCGCTTCGAATAAACCTGCTTTTGTGCCTGCTTGAGCGCTCCTCAAAGGGAACATTTGTCTGTTCTACAACTTGACTCTTTTTGCGCGTCTCTTTCGTCACACCTTACCTTTTTCTACCAGGATCACTTCCCGACTGGGTAGCGGTGACTGTGAACGAACTCGCCCGAGTGGTCACTCCCAAGGGCAAGGAAAAAAAAAAAAAAAAACGAAAAAAAAGGAGAAAAATATAGCATAAAAAGGACTAAAAGAGACAAACAGGAATCGTCTCCACCGCCCTCATCATCGCCAACACCGATAACACCGCCGACGCGGCCGCATGCTAAGACTTTTAAAGAGGGGGAACCTGTTCACGCGGAGCATAACTCATACGCGCGGTTTCGCTGGTGGGAAGAAAATGGAAACCGAGGGTATCAAGCGTGAGGAACTGGAGGGAGGCACAGGTGAGGCCGCTCCGCAGGAGACTGCTTCACAAGAGACCCCTCCAGAGGAAGACATAAATGGCAGACTGACGGAAATCCTCTCCGTCGCGTCTGAGTGTATCCAGCCCGAGGAGCTAAAGGCCAGGCTACTCCTCAAGAGGCGGCTGATCTGCTACGATGGGTTCGAGCCGTCCGGCCGGATGCACATCGCGCAAGGTAGGGGTGGAGAGGTGTAGAAGCGTGGAAAAGGGGCCAGAGACGTGGAAAACGCGCAGAAGCGTGGAAAAGGTGGAACTATCACGGGGGAGCCATACGATACCGCACCGACCCCTCGGACGCTCCCCTGCCTATGTCCCCCTAATCCTGCTCATCCTGCTTATCCTACTCATCCTGCTCATCCTTCCCCATCTGGCTTACACCCCCCCCCGCAGGACTTCTCAAATGCCAAATTGTAAACAAACTGACAAGCAACGGATGCACGTTTATCTTCTGGATCGCAGACTGGTTCGCACAGCTGAACAATAAGATGTGTGGAGATTTAAAAAAAATAAAAAAAGTCGGAAAATACTTCATCGAGGTGTGGAAGAGCTGTGGCATGAACATGGAGAACGTCCAATTCCTCTGGGCCAGCGACGAAATTAATAGAAAACCGAATGACTATTGGTCACTTGTCATAGATATATCAAAATGTTTTAATATCAACAGAATAAAGAGGTGTTTAAAAATCATGGGACGATCAGAGGGAGAAGAAAATTATGCCTCACAGATTATGTACCCTTGTATGCAATGTGCCGATATTTTTTTTCTCAATGTTGATATTTGCCAGCTTGGGATTGACCAGAGGAAGGTAAACATGCTAGCTCGAGAATACTGCGACATAAAGAAGATAAAGAAGAAGCCCATAATCTTGTCTCATGAGATGCTTCCTGGACTTTTGGAGGGACAGGAGAAGATGTCCAAATCGGATGAAAATTCAGCGATCTTTATGGACGACTTGGAGGCCGACGTGAACAGGAAGATAAAGAAGGCGTACTGCCCACCGGCCGTGATTGAGAACAACCCCATTTTCGCATACGCCCGGAGCATCGTGTTTCCTCATTACAACGAGTTCGCTCTGCAGCGGAAGGAGAAGAACGGGGGTGAGTCTACGCTGGGCAGCTGTCATAGCGAACACGTTGGTCGTGACCAAATGGGAAGGCCATGGTTATATACTCCTTCCCTTGCCCCTCCTCGTACCCGTGTTTCCCTCCACGTCTACATAATCTGTACACATTAACCTACTCGCTACACAGTCGCTACACACACACATACACCCTACTCCGCAGGAAACAAGACCTACGCCACGATCGCTGAACTGGAGGCGGACTACCTCAGCGGCGCACTCCACCCCCTCGACCTCAAGGACAACGTGGCTCTGTATCTGAACAAAATGCTTCAGCCCGTCAGAGATCATTTCCAAAATGATGCCGAGGCGAAAAGTCTGCTTAATGAAATCAGAAAGTACAAGGTGACCAAATGAAAGGGGGTGGCCCTAGCAGTAGTAGTAGCGGTAGTAGTAGTATTAACTAAACGTTTGTCGGCGGGGAGAGAGGGGGCCTGTCCGGTGCGGCTCTCCACCTAGGAGGAAGCCATATATCCAGTGTAGGCACAGATCGCGGAGATTGTCCTACGTGCGCATTGGCTTCGTCCTTATGGCGTTCCTCCCCTTCTCCCACTGGGTCTTTCCCCACTTCGCCCCCGCGGGGGCTTCTTCCCGCCGTTCAGGCCAATGGCCCCCAGGTGTATATGCCCCCCTCGCTGTCACTACATGGGGTTTCCGCTCCTTCAGTGTGCTCCTACTGCTTCACCCCTGTTTTGTGCATCACCATTCCGCACATCCCCCCATTTGGTCCCTTTCTCCACGCTACTTCGTCACCTTACCTTTTTGAACCCCTTCAACGATAACATCCCTGACTTGAGTCACTCCCCCTAAGTCATTTAGTTTGTAACAGGTTTCGCTGTAAAACCTTCTGCACATCGTGGATGGGTAAATGATAGTGTCAAGAGAAAAAAAAAAAATTCAAAAACATGCCATCACTGTGGTATATAGAGAAAAAATCACCTGACCTGTTCAGGTAAAAATGAACAACAGGGGAAGTACACCCAATTGGGGCAGATCTTTTTACAAAGTATGTCAAACCTTTCCCTTTCTGAAGGTCCTTCACATTGCGGTGTATCGCCATAGGATTTAATTAGCCCTTTCACATGGTGACATCATAGAAGACGGTTGGTCAGGGATATATGATGCCTCCATTCCACTCCCCGTATGCAGAGTGTCCGTGGGGGAAAAAGAAAAAAAAAAAAAAAAAAAAAAACCTCCTAATTGCTAACCAAAGGGGCGTACATTTTATCTCCCCACTGATGCAAATGAAAATCCGCAACTACATCTTTGGCAGAGTGACCGATCCGTATAGCTACCTTGAGAAGATAAAGGGATTGCTGGAGTTGCCCTCGGGAAAGAATACGAACAAATGGAAGGTCCCAAATTTTGTGCAAAATTGTGTGCGCAGGTATGATGAGGAAGTGGCGAAGAAGAGTTACAGAATAAAATATGACGTTCATGCGTCGCTGCGGGAGGACTTCCTCCCCTCCGAGGGGAACACAAATGAAGAGCTGCTCTTCCATAACAGGTACTTATACTTCGAATATAACACTGACAAGAATCTACTAGTGTGTAGGAAAAAAATTAAAAGGAGATCTCGGACGAATAACTCTTTTCATCATGTTAACAAATCGCTGGATGATTTGAAGAGGGAAGGTTACGTCTCGAGGGACACCTCCGAAATTGTGGCCGTGTTACCAACAAACTGTTTGATCAAATCTTTCTGCACTAAAGGGAATCGCTTCTTTGCGTTTGTTGTGGAGCGTAGTGATTGTTATCTCAACTGGGGTTATGTCTTCCGGGGGAGTCGGCTCGTTAGGGATGCCAAGTTGGATCACCTCGCCTGTGGGGCTGTCTCAAGGGAGGGTCCTTCCCCGCGGGAAAATGGCAGACGATGTCCATTTAGGGGGAGACCTCCGGAAGGGGGTCCATCACGATCAGTGCAGAGGGGAGCAGTACAGAGGCGATCAGTGAAGAGGATCCCCCGCAACGGGGCCCATCACTTCGCTGATCACTCGAATTGCCCCCGTTCCTGCCTTCCTTATCACCACCTCCTCTACCAACGCGAAGGCGTGCAAAACATTGCATTTCTGCAGAGGAGACGCTCCACGGATCTTTCGCCTTCCCATTTTTCGGCTGCCCATTTCTCGCCGGCCCATTTCTTCCCACCCGACTTCCTCACAACGGAGCTTGATGAGAAGCACCGGTGCAGCGGGTTGTTCCTCAACACGTGTAGTTGCACCCCCCCTCGAAAGAAGCTCCTCCTTTTCGAAGCAGACGAGAAAAATTTCCTAAATATATACTTAAGTAAAGACATGAAGAGGATTTTCCTCTTAAGCGGAAACCACCATACGAATGATCTCTTCCTGATTCAGTGCAAAGACAAGTCCAGGAAGGGGACTCTCCATTATGAGTTAAGGTTAATCAAACTAGTAGGGAAGGCTCTTCTACGAGGGAAGTACTTCCTTGAGCACTTTCGCCACCATGTCATCCTAATAGGGAAGGGGGACGATCGGACAGAAGTGTATGCCCTCGATTGTGATGCGCTGCATCTCCATCCGGGACAACTCGGACGAGTTAAGAATCGCGGAAAGGAGAAAATTTCGTTTCCCACCCACTCGGTGCATATAACGAAGGAGGAGGTACCCATAAATGGTTGCTTACGGAGAATGATCACTCTACAAAACTGCACACTTCACGATTTCGACATGACCAAATATGGTCTTGTCCTCTACACTTATCGTTATTTTTTGAAGCCGATTATATGCCTCCTATACTTATTTGTGAAGCAGAGGGGTAAGTGCCCTCCCGTGATGTCTACCCCCAGTTGTGGTGAAGGGGATTTCTTCTCCGGCTCTTCCTTCCCCACCTCTCCCCTCTTCTGCACATACAGCTTCTCCTCCCCGTGCACCTCCCCTAACACGTATCTGCGCCCCCAAGGGGGGATTGCCCACTGGAAGGAAAACACAAAGGAGAACCGTCTGGTAGCCAAAATGAAGATCCTCTCTGTGCCCATCACCAAGGGAAGCATAGAGTGCGGATTGAACAATCTTTTCCAGAGCCACCTCATAAGTGTGTACATCTGCAACCCGTTTGTGAGCCGTACCCAGGTGGTGGTCGACCTGAGAAGGGGGGTCGTAGCCCTGCCGAGGAACGTCCAAAGGGGGGAAGAAGCGGACAAGGGGGAAAAACAGCATAATTGGAAGAAGCAGCATAATTCGAAAAAGGAGAAAAATTCGAAAAAAGAGAACAATTCGAAACAGGAGAAAAATCCGACAAAGGAGAAAAATCGGACTAGAGAGAACCCAAATGGATCCTTCTTCCGAGCAAAGAACAGAATCCTCTACGACCTCCAACTTGAGGACATATTTGCAAAAAATAAAGAGTACAAAATTAAGGACATCTTCATTCGCACCCAGGAGGGAACCGAGTTGCCACTCACACTGATCTATAGACACACGAATAATGCCAATCTGTGTGACATACAGAAGGAACCTTACAAGAGTTTTTCCAAACATGTAGAAGAGGAGTACAATTCGTTCACTGTGACGGCTACTTCCTTTGGAAACCTCTGTGTGCATTTTTTTCATTCCCCAAGATGGAGCCTAGACATAGGGGTACAAGTGGACGAGCCTCTCCCTCTATTCATTAAGCCAAGCAGAACAATCATCAACGTTTATCCCTTTTATCGACAACTCAACATTTGTAGCTACTCGGACGAGTCCCACTTTTACATTCTTAATAATTTCATTGTCGTTTATTTTCACCTGACCGGTTCAGGCGGATTGCAATGTGGGAAAAGAAACACACTCTATAGAAGCGCCACGCTTGACAAATTCAGAACCATTCGGGACCTCACAGATTCTATTAATTGCTTGAAACATCTCAACGTTAGTGAGACGGAGAGCATGTCCATTTATTTACATTCCAATAGTGGTCTCCTCGGGGGGTACCTGCTAAATGGGCAGAGGAAGTTTCTTCAAAATATCATTTTGATTAACCCCATGATGGACTTTTTTAATAATCTTACCGATGAGAAGAAGCCACATGTGCACTCGGAGAGACTCGAGTTTGGTTGCATCGACCCTGAGGCATGTCTGCTGAGGCGGGGAGGGGCCACCCTCACCACGGGGCGAAGAAAACGGGGGAGAGGGGGAAACCCTCAGAGGAAGGGTGGAGGTACCCCGCCCCAAGGGAGACATAATAAAAGCATCGGAGGGAGGAACCGAATATGGACAAGCCAAAGATCGATGAGCGGAACATTTGTCCCCCCCCAGCAGAGTGGTACCTGCCAGAGCAAACCTCACATCGGCATCAGACGACAATGCCAAAAGAACCTGCTCCTTCTCCACGCGCTGTGTCCATACAACAACATACAGCCAACCTGCAGCGAAGTCTTCTCCCCCCCAGACCAATCCGATCAGAGCATCCCATTCAAACTTAGCGTAACCACCCACAGAGACAATCTCTTCACCAGTGCAGTTCTCCTATACCTAAATAAGTACGACATAATATGTCCAAATGTTAACTCCGTGAAGTATTTTTTAAAATACACTCATTATCAGAGGGTGCATGTGAGGTTCGGTTACTGCTCTTTTGGCTCTGATTATGTGGGAGGCAGCGTCAACTTCCTCAATTTCCACAGTGTCGATCGTACGGGGGAGGGGCAGAAGAAGCCGCTCTACATTTCCTTCTCTGAGCAGGGGGGGCACGGCGGGGTCGCCGACTACGACTCGCTGCTGCGCCGGACGCTGGGCCGGATGCACTTTCACCTGGTTGGGGAGCGGCATGAGGTGTCATGAAGCGATGGGGAAGTCCCCCTGGGGAATGGCGAACCAGTTATTAGCGCAAAACAGCTACTGTGTCTCTTCTTTTTTTTTATACGTGTTCTGGATATCTCGTTCGTTCCCCATTGGCGCTTCGCTAGCCTCCCCCCAAAAAAAAAAAAGAAAAAAAAAAATCCTCCTTTGGGCAGGCCACAGATTTGCATTTAATATAGTGGCACATTTCTTCGCTGTTTTTTTGTTTCCTCTTCTTACTTCTTCCTGTTGTGACCCCCGAACGTTGTAAATCTTAATCACAGTGGGAGACCCTTCTCCGCTATGTTGGAATATAAAAGGGCGAAAAAAGCCCAACGCGATGAAACGAACAAGGATGTGCGGTGCAGAGGTCGAGAAAGGGAGTGTGGCTCTGCGTTCTGTTGGGCGATATGCCCCCTATCGCGTTGAGGATAAGCATCGGTTTTCATCATCACCCACGATGAAGATCGTTTTACGAAGTTTACTCTATCCGTTTGGCATTTGGTCCTGGCTCTACCTCTGCCATTTCGCCAGCTCACCTGTTTGCCAATTCTCCTCTTCACGTTGACTTCCTTGCGGGATTCGCATCTCCTCTCAGCTTCTGCGTCGGGGGAAAAAGGAAAAAAAAAAAAAACGGTGACCAAAGGAGGGCGAAGCGGATGTGTTGTGGAGGAGCTGGCTCAACACGACTAAAGCAGGGCGGCTGAGTGAACGAACGTGGCCAACTCAGCACGGCCAACTTAGAACGGCCAACTTCGTCACATGGGTAGCCTCATCAGAGGGTAGCTTAGCAGAAGCGCGAGCGCTGGCGCCGCCTCCAGGCGCAGAAGAACAAATGGGAATTTCTTCTCAACAGAGGAAAGGGGGAAAGGACACCATCACGGTGAGAAAAGTACCTTTTTTGTGGGGGAGACTAGCAATATGACATATTCTCGCCCCCAGGGGTATAGCAGTCCTATTGTCGAAGGTAAACGCAAACCTGAGCTCTGGTGAGGGCTCTCCGTCACGCAGGGGACCAGCTCGTCTGCGCAGGGGTTGGGGTTGGGGTTGGACCTCCGGTCAGCCGAAGGTAGCACCTCTCCACCGCGCATGGGATCAACCATCGACCCAGCAGTTTTCCTTCTCTGATTTTTTTCTGCCAACTTCCCGCTGCCGACTCGGCTTGAACAAAATGAACGGGTCCTTCATCGAACTCATCAAGGACATCAAGCGGGACGACAGCATGCAGAACGTCGAAAGGAATTATGACCTGTGCGTTAGGAGCCTCAAAGAGATGGATAGAAGCAAAAGGGCCAAGGAAAATGAATCTATATTCAGTCTCCTCAACCCCAGAACGAAGGACAAATCGATTACTCTCCTCAAATTGCTTTATCTTCAAATGTACGGAAGGAAAATAGACCCTGAACATAACTTTGCCGTGATTGAAATGCTAACATCAGATAAGTATGTGCTGAAGAGGAGGGGCCATCTGTTCCTCCATCACTCCACTGACAGAGACGATGTGACTTTTCTTTCTATTAATCTGTTTCGGAAGGAGTTGTACAAGGAGAACTTCCCTACTGCATCCTCCAACGCGAAGACCAACGTTATTAACTCATTAACTAACATTGGCTGTGCCATTATGAGAGATAACATCGCCTTGCTTCAAACCTCGGCAAAGAGTTATTCAATAATGTCTACGACTCCGTCAAACGGGTCTGCCTCTTCTCCCTGGGGTCACTTTCCTATGACTGGAGAAACCCCACGCGAACAGGAAAAAAAAAAACAATTCGCACACACAAATTGTATAATAAAGGAGACAAACATATACAATACGGCTCTTGTTCTCAACACCCTCAGTAATGTATGCACCTCCATCATGAGCAGCAACCTCCACGACCATGTCCTCCACCTGCTTAATAGCTCCCAGGTTTACATAAAAAAGAAGACAATTATCAGTCTATACAAAATAGTGATATGCAATTTGGATACATTGCCCGTTTTTCTCGATACAATTAAAAAGAGCTTCCTTTCTCTCTACAACAATGAGAGTGCATCGTATGATAAGGTGGGAAAGGACGAAATGGATCGTGCTCAGCGGGACAACACCACGCTGTGCTGCCTCATCGTGAACATCCTGGCGGAGGTGTTTTGCGCCCTGGAGGGGAGCCACGCTAATGTGAACGGTGCCAACGTCAGCGAGGCCAACCCAGGGAGCAGCCACTCGGTTGAGGCCCCCCACGGGGCAGACGCCCCCAATGAGCTGTCCAAACGGAAGGATGACACCCCGCACAGGGGGATAAGTACCTGCAATCAGAGCCAAGCGGGACCAACTGCCAACAGGGGAGGAGTGTACACTTACCTGAAGAAGTTCCTCGCATTCATTCCTCTTATTTATAGCCTCCTAAACGAACGACTCAGCCTGATAGACAACTGGAAGTTCATAAAAATAGTCAAATTTTTGAAAAAGCTAGTTCGATACGAAAATAGAATCTACAGAAAGTTCCTGCATCTAATTGTTCATGTGTTTTTTACCAGCAAAGCGAAAAGCGTCATCTTTGAGTGCCTCAGGTTTTTGCTCTTCAACTACCAGAAGGGATGCGTCGTCGATTTGGACCTCCAGCGGTACGCACCTTCCGGTGAGAGCAACCTCGCGCGGAATACCCATCGAACCATCCAGCGAAGCGCTGACGGGATCTGCGACGAGGTCAGTGATGGCCGCCCACCCCTGCCGCCCCCCGACTCCATGGAGCAGTTGCTGCAACTCTGCTTCACCTACCTCGCAAACAGCTTTCACGATGAAGACAAGAATATCGTGTATGTCACGACGAAGACCTATTTATCCATTTTTGCCACTCCAGATCTTTACCAAAAATTCGTGCAACACAGCATGGTGGAAGGATTGTCTACCAACGTCCTGAGCAGTCTCTACCATGACGTTACGATAAGGAAGAGTCTCCTTCGTATCGTATACTACCTCATGGATGAAAACAATTTCGAATCGATTGCCTACAACATCTTGACTTACCTATATCACAGGGCCGAAGGAGACTTCGTAGGAGAGTACGTAGATGCGATTCTGCTGTATGGACAGAAAAAGGCGCACTTGTTGCCAAATCGTAATCTCTATGTCTTCATTTTGTTCTACATGCTATGCATTAAGAATCACAAGAAGGAGTCCAAGGTGATCCAGGAGATCCTGCGAGTGAACGGCACTCAAGGGGGGACCACCCACATCACGACGAACTTTCTCAGTGCTATGTACGTCGTGACGTACGGTGCGGCTGTGATGCGGCGCGAACTGGGCGGGCGAAGCGGGGATGGCGGTGTGGATAGCCGTGTGGATAGCCGTGTGGCTAGCCCTGTGGCTAGCCCTGTGGATAACCGCATGCATACCCGTGTTGGTAAAAACTCCTCACGACTTGCCTCCCCATTTGCCGCCACCAAGGGGGGGGACCATCCCCGGAGAGGAACGCAACAAGAGAGCCACGAATCGGAGCTGCTGAACCACATGAGTATCTTCCTGAAGGAGGTAAAAACGATGGACGCGTTTTCCAGATATGACATCCTGGAATACATCATAGGGACACTAAAGATACATGGAAGTGATGATACGCACGATAAAGAAGAGGATCTCTACAAAGACCCAACCCAAGTAGAGGTATCCACCTTTGAGTATCTCATTTATTTCTTGTATGCTTACCTAGAAGAAGCGCATGACCAGATAAAGGAATATAAGAATGAGCACTTCTTGAGGGTTCTCTTTTTCTGCCTGTACCTTTTTTTTACTCACTTCAGTGTTAGTAGTATTCTTTGGCACGTGGGAAAGATATTTTTGTTTTTTTATCAATACGAGGAGAATAGAAGCTTGGTTCTTTTTTACGTCGGAAAGTTCTCTTCCCATATGGGGTACGTGCTTCGGAGACGGAACAGCGTGGAGATCATCGATTGTTGCGTCATTTTGAGAAATGTCTTTTTCCTCCTGCGTGACGCGAAGCATGCAGAGGGACTCCCCCCTAAAGAGGACTCTCCCACTGGAGAAGACACCAACCTGGGGATCGACTTCTACTCATGCGTCACGGACTATCTCCAGCTGGATCCATCAGAGGAGAAGTTCCATTTAGATCGTCCCTTTAAATACGACGACGCGTTCTTTTTGCCCAAAGAGGGGAGTCGCTCCCGGGGCAGTCCGTCCAGGGGGAGTGGCTCCAGGGAGAAGCTTCCCCGCGCGGTTCAGAGATCCAGTACCAGTAAGATTAGGACCACTTCTGTGAGAACCCCTTCGATGACGACCCCCTCGGAGATTACGGCCTCCGCCTTGACTGTGGACGAGGTAGACATTCCCCGCGCATGCAACGGAAATGGAGAACCCACCTCGCACGGCGAAGCCACTTCCCACGGAGACCTCCGAGCGTTTTTGCGAGAACTCAAGGAGGAACAAACCAAGTGGAGACAAAGAGACAAGCGGACCTTTCACCAAATAAGCCAGACTGCCCACATCAAGTTATATTTTCAGCTGAATCAAGACGAGCGTTTCCTCCGTTTGTATGTCCAATTGGTGGGCTCTCCTGTAACCGTTAAGAAGTTATCTATTCGCACGTCTTTGCTAGTGAAGACATGCCAGGTGGAATTCAACGCAGAGGAAGACGAACTGGTTCTGTTAGGAGATGACAAGATGGCCCAGGGTACCACCATCTCCGATGACTTAACAACCAAAAAACATCATCATGGTGGTTCGTCTCTTGAGAAGAATCCCACTGAAAAAGTTGGAAGCACCACCCTAACCGAACTAACCACTGTGGAAGAGGTCACCAGCAATTTTCTCATCAGTGTGCACTTCGAAGTTCCATCCGGCTCCGTTAAATTGGCCTTCTCCTATTTGTGCGACTCGATTCTCCATGAAGAGTCCTCAGTCGAGATTCCATTCGTCCCTCTCGAACCGGTGCCCCTATCGATGGACGAGCTTACGAACGTACGTTTAAAGAAAGGACTAAACGCTGCAAAAGGAGCAGATGCTGCACCGCGGCGGCACTCTCCTGGATGAGCATTCCCCACTGTGCGAGGGAGACAAACCTTTCCCCATCTCACCCCCCTACAAAATGGACCTCCTCAATTCGGGGGCAAATCTTATACTAGCTGCTTCCACACATTTGTATACACGACTCCCCTTTTTTTTTCTTTTTCTAATTAGGTGAAGAAGAAAAGAGGCATGAACAGAATCGTAACGGAGGAGATAAAAGTTGACCCGGAGATCCATCCAAATGAATTAATCTTTAGTTGTTGTGTCATCCTGGCAGAGTATCTCCATTTCTTTTTTTTCAACATGGGGAAGGTTTTTTCTAACTTGCGAAGTGGCTGCTGTGTGGATTCTCTTCGCCTCATTTTTTGTTCTGCTCGTACCTCTAGCAGGGAGACCCCACCAGGTGAGGACATCTCCCTTCGTGTGTTGGCGGCGCTGGCGAGGCACGTCAGTGGGTACATCGCACAGGGGGTTAGCGGAATCACCAGTTAGCGGTCTCACCAGTTAGCGGTCTCACCACTTAACCGCCTCACCAGTTAGCGGTCTCACCACTTAACCGCCTCACCACTTAACCGCCTCACCCCTTAATCGCCTCACCACTTAACCGCCCTCCCCTGCAGACAAAACGATCTTCCTAATCAACGTGCATTACAGGAAAACAAGTCAGGCGGCTGACCCCCCCACCTACAGGGTCGAAGCCAAGATGAAAGTGCTGAACGATTCCGAGGAGGAGTGCGTACGGATTCTGGACTACGTCCAGTTCTACCTGTCGAAGCTGCTCACGGGAAGGGACAAAATAAAGTCGCCCCGTATTGCCGTCACGCGGGGGTAACCAAACCGGGAGAAGCCGAAAAGTGCGCAAAGGGATGAGGAAACGAGGAGGCATTACCCGAAGCAGGCATGTGCCCAAGTGGACACTCAAACGGACACTCACACGGACACGCAAAGGTACACCCAAGCAGCCACTCAGACATGCACGCTGACCACATAGCATGGCTCATGTGGAGCTGCACAGACCGATCCGCAATGTGCGATTCGCTTCCCCCCCTGGCGATCTCCAAATATAGGTTGCACCCCACTCCATTTGATCAACCTTCTGTGTCCACGCGCGAATGCCATCTTCCGTCTCTCTCCTTTTTTTTTTTTTCTTTTTTTTTTTTGTCAAAAGGATTACGCAACTGAATGAGTTCCCCGTTTTGCTTCTTCTTTGATCGAATCAAATGAACCTCTTTTTTATTTTTTTTTTGTAAAAGGAATGATCATCCTGTGTAAGGGGCTGCGGAAACATTCCCGGACACCTTCCCAGCGGCGCCACCGACGTTGACGTTTTTGGGGGGGAAGAGCTAACTCCTTTTGGGCGCCAAGAAGGTACACACACACCCCTTTCCCTAAATGTCCCACTTGGAGAGACCAACCCTACAGCAAATTGCACCTGGACTGAAGTGGCACAACTACGATGGTTGATGACGCCCCCCTGGGCCCCGCGAGGGCTTCTCCGGAGCGAAACGAAGGAAAAAAAAAATTCAGTAATTATGTAATTAATTAATTAATTGCTTGATTGATTAGAAAGGGACGCGGACCGTCCCATCCCGTTGCTCCCGTCCAAATTTTAAAAAACAGCGAAATGGACAGGACACAGACAGCACGCTGAGACCAAACGGGATTACGTTTTTGCACAAAAAAAAAAGGAAAAAAAAAGTAGCAGCAGATCCGGTTGGTGGACGAAAAAAAAGGCAACGCGAAGTGTGTGCTGCACTTTGGGGAAAAATTTGTCCGGCGGAAGGAAGTAACAAAAAGGGTATGCACGTTTGTGTGTGTCTCTGTGGTTAAGTGTCGTGGTTGTATACAGAGCTGGCGTACGAATGGGACGAGGCGGCTCCACCGACTTCTAACGCAGCGTTGCGGAGGGGCGAAGTGGCGAAATGGCGAAGGTCGCGAGTGTACCTGTTGTAGCTTGTCCTCAACCGAGCCCCCCTCCGGGAAGTTCGTTCCGGTCGGCCTCCACTCACCGTAGCACCGCTTCACTTCCACACAGTGCCTCGTATCACTTCTCCGATACCCCCGCCGCGGGCGACTTCGCCTTGGCGATGCCCACCATAGAGGGCTTTCCCCCCACGCCACGCACAAACACCGTGTAGTAGTGCCGCATGAAGGCAATGCTTCCGAGCAGGTAGGCCTGGTTCTTCTCCGAGGGCACGTCAATTTGCATATAAGCCGGGATGCAATTCTCCTCATTCAAAATCATGTATTCCTCTGGCATGAGCTCAATGATCAAATCGCCAAAGACATACTTAATCACGGGATGATTTTTCAACACATCTCTGTAATTCTCTTCTCTACACGGGACGGAAGGAACTGCATCGAAGAAGTCCTTTATATGTGCACTGGGTATAGTGTTGTACGATGTGCCTGTGTCGAAAATGGCATAGCTCTTCTCCTCGCAACATATTTTCTTTTCTCCCACGTAAATCCCGTCTAACTCCACCTCCCAGTAATACTCCTTAATGACTGGAAGCATATAGATGCTTCCCTCGTAAAAAGATTTGCTCAATCCACCGACTATAAAAGTCGACGTGTTGTCATCCGGAGAAATGTAGAAAGAAAACTGCGGTGACAACTTCCTATTCTGTTTTAATAAGTTGTCGAAGAAGGATACCTTTCCTGCAGACAACATTTCTGGGAATCCCAAACCGACAATCCCCTCAAAGTCAATATAGTCAAAAATGTTGTCTCCATTTAAGCTGTCATTCGATTCACTCTCCACTAAGCCAAATGTCTGGTTGCGCACTGTTTGGTCTCCCAAAACGAAGGTTTCTTTTCCAATGGATCCCGAAATGGAACCTGATCCGAAAACGATGTGGAGATTTTTCCCTATAAACGATCTCCTAAACGTTTTCGACACGTAGGGGTTATACCTGTTTACTTTTTTGCAAGACTCTTCTTCACAGTCTGTTGTAACGACCCACAGATTTGTGCTCCCCGTGTCGAAGATGGGATGGATCTCCTGTGGAGGAACCCCAACTAGGAGCGTCCCAACGAATTGGCTATCTCGCAAATGCTTCAGCGGGATGAGGAAGACATTTTCTTTTGTCTGTTCCACCACAGCGTTTGTGTTTTTCAAATCGATGAAGTTCTTCTCGTCACGTCCCCTCTGTTCGGCTGCCTTGTTCGCGCTCCCCACGTCCACCTTCCCCATGTCCACCTTCCCCACCTCGGCATGCCTCTGCACCCCCACGAAGTAATCGGACGGACGATCCTTCCCATACCTAGTCGTGAGGTCCATGAAGTTCCTTCCCCTCCTGGCGTTCTCCTGCCACCTCTTCTTGATCTCCTCATTAATTCTGTCTATATCATTCAGTGTGTTCCCCGAGGGGTTACCCAGACTGCCTGAAATTCCTTCTCCCCTCTTCACGTAGTACTTCACCCCCCCGCTCTTCACCGAATCGTGATGCTTCTTCAAATTGCTGTGATCATTTGGATTCTTCTTGTTTAGCTTCAAGTGGATCGCATGTGGGGACTCCTTCTCCTCAAACAGACACGCACTACATTCCCGTACGTCCCTGCACTTCGAACAGGGGATGGGTTCTCGGCCCACCTTATACACCTTATGGCACGTGGCTTCCGGGCAGAAATGGAGTAAAAAGAGAGCTCCACAGAAGAGCGTCCTTAACCCTTTGGCGTGCTTCATCTTCCGAGCCGTTGCTGTTTTAACGTTTGAGTCTCACGCGAAGGGGCACCGTCTGCCTCTCATGTACGCAGGTGGGAATGCAAATGGGGAAAGAAGAAAAGAAGAGGGAGAAAAGAGGCGAAATGAGATGAAGTGGGACAGAATGGGACGAAGGAGAAGATGACGAAAAGGCCATGCCGCTTCTGAGGAAGTTCTACTTCGCGGGCCGTGCCTCACACGAGTGGCTCTTATTCATCTATCCGCTCAATTGTGTGCTCCCGTCAGGTGGCACCTCATTCGCGTAACATGAACGAGCAATTCGACGTGATGTCTGTATGTCTTTAAAGTGTAGGCGAACACTCGGATGGTATATTAAAATGACGTAAAAAAGAAAAAAAAAAAAAAAAGGATTGCATGGAAGACGCTACTTGGTTGGTTGCGGACTTGTGCAAATTTTGCAAACTCGTCTGGTAAAGTATACACACCGTCAGAAAAAGGAAAAAAAAAAAGAAAAAAAAAAAAGAAACATGCACATTAAAATGAACAGGATAAGTTGATATAGAAAAGAAGAAATATATTCCTTCTCTAACTTCTCGTCAAATGCGAATTCGACTTGAACCCCCTTTCGCAACTCACTCGCCGGTGTAGAACCGCTGTATATAGCAAGCAGAAGGGTATGGACGCACGCACATATTATACGTTACACGTGGCATGAATGAACTGAGGTTCCCCCTTGCCAGGTGCCGACTTGGACAGCTACGCAGGCCCTCCCCACGGTATACACATAAGCCTCAATCTTCTTGTTGTGCATTTGGTTAACACTCCCCCCTCTAGAGATGTTTCCTAATGGTCTGCTTCGCCCGGCGGTGAGTCAAACAGGGGAGCAGCCTTTTAACCATTTGGGGCCGCTGATGGGGGGAGGAAAAAAAACGAAAAAGTGACCACAAAAAAAAACGGAAAAAAACTAAAAAGTGACCACAAAAAAAACGGAAAAAAACTAAAAAGTAACGAAAAAAAGGCAGCAGGGAAGGCAGCAGAGATGGCGGCAAGATAAAGCTAAATGAAACAAAAAAAAAACAAAAAAGGGCACAGTTCACACAAAAAGGAACCGCGCAGAAAACACTAACTCGTCAAGTTTAGACAACAATTTGGTCTACGAATTAAAAACGAGCGACGCTCACTCGGGCGTGGGTGGCAGCGCCGGTGGAGAAAAGAACCAAACAAGTCAAAATGGAAGTTGTGACCATTTTGTATTTTTCCCCTCCAGTTTGTTCTGCGTGTGAAGGTTTCGCTCCATGCAAGAAGGAAAAAATAAAAATGAAAATAACAGGATAAAATAAAAAAAAAAAAGATAAAATAAAATGAAGGAAAAACACTCAGGAGAGCGTGGTGGCGAACCCAACGGGCAAACCAGGCCAGCAAACGAATCAAGCGAAACAGGCAAGCAAAACAGATGAGCAAATCAGTTGACCAAATCAGTTGAGCAAACCAAACGAGCGCGGCTTTCCAACTTGGCACAACAGCCCTTTTTGAAAGTCAATTCTCCCCTAACATCACAAACTTTGGAAAAAAAAAAAAACTTCCATCTGAAAATCGTTAACTGACCATTTCTGTAATGTAGAAGAAAAAAAGGGATGTTTCTTTTGGGTCTACCGTCTGAAGTGCCAA